GAAGTTCCATCTCCATATTGTTTAGTACTGGCTTAAAATAGAACTACAAACACACAGACAGCCTGATTCTTATTTAGATTAAGGCCCCTTTTCATGAATCTGGCACTGGTAATTTATTCCCACTTCAAGGGCCCTTTACACTGTCAGAACTGTGTAAAGAAGCCCTTATGTATCTGAGAATCAGTCTTCAATCAATTAATTTAACTAATAAACAATACAGTTCTTTTTCAGGCAGCACTGGCTAGAATCCAGTAGTTGGTGCTAACTGACATTATTCCTGTAACCCCACAAGTTACCAATGAACTTAATTCCTAGCCTGTAACACTTCTTTCTGTTCCATTCCTGATCTCCCATGCAGCTCTGCCAATGCACTTCATTTCTGACCTGCAACATCCCCTTATTCCAGTCCTGGGTTCCCATGCAACTCTATTAATGAATGTATCTTCACCTGCAACTAACCTTGGATTCTTACATGTGGAAACCATCAATTGTGCTAAAATCCATAGGTATTCTGACAGAACAAACATACAAGACCACCAAACTGGTTTTAGTGGTAGTCCAAACTAGCTTGAAAGCAAAAACCAAATGTACTCATTCTCTTCACCTTCTAGTGTATGCTGCCTCTCCCCTAACAGTCATAATAGTTTAGCATCACCTAACCCATGAAAACTCTTTTGAGTGTGTACATTTCTTCCCCAGGCTGAGCCCCAGTGGTGATGAGGTACATGAATCACACTGCAAATGCTTTTAGTGCCTCAAGTTTAGTTGAGCAAAATTCATTTTGCAGAATTTGGGGTAAAAACCTAAACACAGACTTGGCTTTTACTACATTGAACTTTAACCGATATGAATTTGAAGTCACAGATGAAATAATATGAACATCAAAGTGTTTTCTTTGCAAGGTTGCTATTCTCCATCACAGGGATTATCAAACACAGCTTCCTAACTGGTCTTCTGTTCCATTTTTAATCCTTCATCAATATCAATAAAACAGGATCTTACCTTGATCTTCTGAAGAGACGGGTGGCCTGGAAGAAAACAATAAAGATCAGTCAATCTTTTGTATGATGAAAAGGCTGCAGACAGGGTTCGGTGTCACCCTAGAAAATGGTGCAGGCGTGTTGGATATGAGGGAGCTGAGATATTCCAATCCCAGCTCCTCTCAGTAAGAATGTCTGTAAGAGTGATGACAAGAAGGGAGCTCTCAAAGCTATTTCAGGAGCAAGGCCTTCCAGCCAGAACAGTCTTATGGAATAGTACCACAGTGCTGGGCTGGTTGTGAGGCAGCTCATAGCTACTTCAGACATTAGCAAGAGTTTCTGTAGGGTCTAACTATGGGGGAAGTCTCGGGACCTCCAAGCAGGTGTCAGGGTTGGAAATATCTGAGGAATAATGGTCATGGTGAGGAAGTAGTTTCCCAATCGCACCAGGTGTCACTGCAGGGAATTGTGAAGGAGTGCTGGCTGTTTGGAGAGCTGCCCAAGTCGGGTTGCTAGAGGGACTAATGGAAGAGTAATGGCTGCAGAAGAACTCTCAGAATGTACAGCCCCAGATTCTCCTAGCAGGGGATAGTGTAAAAGCACTAGCAGTAAGTCACAGAAGATGGGAGCATTTTAACAGGAGCAATGTATAAAAGTTTAGATAATAAAGAGCCTTTGAAATATATCTGCTGAAACTTTGGATACATTTAACTATCGTATAATACAACTCAATGGCAGGGTTCTGGGGATTGAGGGGATATACAACCACTGACTGAAAGGTTTGAAAACATTCCAAGAGTGACGAGGTACGAAGTGTGGTCAGCTAGTCAGGTCCTCAGCTGGTGTACATTAGGATAGCTTGCCTTACATTAGCAGAACTATCCCATTGTACACCAGCTGAAGATCTTACCCTCCATCACCTGTGATCAAAAATAAAAAATAGCACACAAATTAATGCAAAGTACTGTACTTCATTTTTCTCCCAACATATTAGCACGGGGCAGCAGGGCTGGGGTTAGCCAAGTGCAAAAAATTTTGGCCGTGCTTTGGCTATTTAAACTCAGTTTGGCAGCGTACTGTGGGTCAGGCCATCACCTGAGCCATTCCTACAAGATGACTTTAAAGTAAATGCACATTCTTGCTGCCAAGATAACACAAGAGCTAGCTGCTAGCATGGCAAGGCTTCTGTTTTCTTTCTGGCATAGTTTAATTTTACACTGATGCACAAACATGACAGATTAGCAAGATTAAACAAATGTCAGCATTGCAGGCAAAGTGATCAAAGCTGGAGTCAAAAAAGCATCTCATGGGAGGGGGTGGGGGAACAGAAAACATACCAGGAGCAAAAAGAGTATGTGTGTGAGCGTAACAAGTGGGGATAGAAGGGTTACAAGCTTTGAATTCAGAGGAATAAAGAAATCGAGGGAGGAGTCACGATCTCCTATAACTATAGGGCATCCGAATCAGAATCAGATAGGCATATATGTAGGTGCAAACATGGAAGATGGAGAGGAAAGAAGGAAACTTCCCTAATGAGGTTTGTTTTTTACTTTTTAAAAAGAAGAGCTTTGCAGGGAAAGAGAGGAAAGAGTTACACTCAATTAGAGAAAATAAAGGAAAAAAACAGATTGCCTAATGAAGATTATGACCATGCCCATATCCAGTGTATCTGTAAAGATCAGAATTAATCAACCTGCTGCTACTGTTAAACACTCTGACTGCTGCTGAAACATCCTAGCCATGTCCTCTTCAGCCAAGCAGGCTGGTATATCCTGCCATTACAATAATTTCCATGCAACATGGCAAGATTGTAGGTAACCCAGAGGATAGCATCCAAAATATTAAACATTTTAACTGCCCCACAGCATTAAGCAGTAATTGTCCCTTTCACAGTGTATTCCCTTCTTCCCACATGCCCCCAGTAAGGTATAAAATTCTGCAAACATAGAAGGCTAAGTGATGTAGGATGGCAGATACCAAGAGGTGCAATTCCGCTCTCTCTTTAGAAAGATATAACCAAGCAAATATTTACAGATAGGACCTTCATCAGAATTCTCAGCTGTTTTATCTTGACACCTCACCTGCCGAAGTGGTTTCACCCAATCTGAGGCATTTATTCTTTTTGTTTATTTCTTAGTCACACCATTTTATCACTTTCCTTATGCAGAGCAACAGTACAGAATAGGACACACTATCCTATAATTCAGTTAGATTACACCTGGGAAGACATATGCTATTATCTCTAAAGCACCCACAAGGAAAAAAATACAGAAAACAAGAGAGAATGCACATACACACATACACAGCAGGAGACCACTCTAGCAAGCACAAGACTTGTATTTATCATTTTTAAAACTAACGGTGATATGTGTGCAGCTCTGAAAAGCGCTTGGAGATCTATGGATGAAAAGCAATATATGAGATATTATTAATTATTATTATTATTTTCACTTGATCTGCTGCAGAAGGGTTGTTTTTTGTAGGTGAGGTTGTTTGTTTTTTGTAAAGAGTGTGGGGAGTTTGGTCTCTTTTAGCATTGTTTCGTTCCCTGCAGTCTATATAGTTTAAGGCTGGGATTTTCAGCATTGGCCTAACTTTGCTCCCACTAAAACCAATGGCATTTCACCAGTGCCTTTACTGGGAGCTGAGTTAGGCCAATACCAAGCACTTTGGAAAATCCATCCTAAATTGTCAAATGCTTAGTCACTCTCTGCCAGAACATCTGGTCCAACCAAACTATGCTCATCACAGGACTGGAGAAAGGAAGGAATCAAAGGTGGCCTTAAGCCTAATGGCTGCTTTAAGTTATGCCCAGTTGCCCCAGAGCCAATAGGGGCTGGGAATCAGTCAGATGCAGCCATTTTCTGGCCACACCCCCTGCACTGGGGACTGGGTAGGGTTGTGACATAGAAAATGCCATGGTACTTTGCCACCAAAGGATTTTTCCATGTTGGAGGAATTCTCAACTGGCTGGATCCACTGGCTATACAGCTGCTTAACACCAGCTGACTGATGCAGCGCAGCTGCTGCATGAGCCAGATTCTATTAAAATGAACAAAATATGAAGAGCTAAAGAATCAAGCTGCAACTCACAGAGCCTGATTGCATTAAAAGGGAAAGAGAGAAGACAGAAGAGTGTCCCTGATGCAAAGAAGTTAGTTGCCCTACAGCCAGTGACTCTGAGCAAAAGCATGGGTGTATACAGCTTGCATGAAACAAGATCTTCATTAATTCATTCTTATGAGCAAGGATTGCTTTACAATACAGGGCAGACAAGGCAGCTGTCCAGGACAGCAAAACAGAAAAGCAGCAAAATATTTAGTGAATATCTGCTGTTTAACAGAGTTATTGGTGGGTAGGTGAGGAGGAGAGATCTTTTCTAGTATACCTAGGAAAACAAAGACCAGACTATGTGTGTCTTGACAGGCAAAGCAGGCTTTATTTCATCCTCCACAAAATATAGGGTCCCATTGCAGTGTTCTTCTTTCCTCCGTCCCTAGAACCAACCCAAACTTTTTTTCAAAACCTCCAGCACCATAACCTGAACTTAGCTGAGATTTGAGGAAGTTCATGTAAGTGCTGTCCCCTTCTCTCTCCCTTACCCCCAACTGGCCACCTGTCTTTGATTAAATCCATCATAGGCTCGGAGCAGGTCTGGAGATATTTTTGGTGTTAACAGCTGATGAAAAGAGCTACCAGAGGAAACCATTTGCAGTTATTGGTCCTACAAAACACAGGAACTATGCTACATATTCTTGAGCACCATTTTGTAGCACCTTATCTATTAACTATTTGCATATATGCAGATACAGAACTCCTGTAACAGTTCGGATCACTTTTGTCCTCAAATCTGGTGAATTCTGTGGCTGCTCTGGGAATCACTTATATGAACAATCCATTGACAATATGAACTTATCACTTATATCACTTATATGAACAAACCTCTGACACAGGGAAGGTGTGTGTAATATTCGAACAAAGCCCCCCAGAGGATTGCCAAGCCCCAGACCTCCTCCCTCACCTCCATAAAAATATTATCATAAAGGTGGCTTTAAGCATTCAGGGGAAGGGAGTTGGAGATAAAGGAAGGGAGCTGGGTGGAAGGAGAAAAGATCTTAAAGTTTGGAGTAGGGAAGAAGGGTCTGATGCATGGAAAAGGAGGCAGGGGAAGGCATTGATAGGTTCACAAAAGCATCTAAGGGCTTAACCAAACTAAGCCCTTTGAGTTGGGCCCATCACTAAAAAACAATTCTCCACCTGATGTCCAGAACTGTGCTATGTCACTGTAAACTACCTCCAGCCAGAATGAAAGCCAATGCAAATTAATGGCAATATAGCAGTACTGTACCAGGCAGAGGTTTAGCTAGCAATTACAGTTCTGTACACACCATTGTTTATCCAATGCCTGCCAACATCCACAGTGCACCTATAAGACCAGAATGGCAGCCTGGCCTCTCTTTTTTCGCAGGCATAAATCCTACCATTAAGAAAGCTATGTGGGTGCAAATCTAATGTGGGTGCAAATCAATAATTTAGTGATGTAATTGGTAGGATTTGAACCTGTAGCTAGTGCAGGTGCCAAAAATGAGGGCATATTTTTATGGGAGAATAATCTGAGCCATAGTCTCCAAAACTGGTTACATCTTCAAAACTATTTGCCTAAATTAGTTGTGCCAAAGGCAGGGGTCCCTTTCCATCCACAAGTGTGGAAAAGAAACATCAGACCTTGTTTGGCCTTTGTTGAGCTTTACTGTATCATTACGTTGCTGGAGATGGGACCAGCAGCAAAACAACTAGCCAGAAGGCAGGACAGCCAGTTCTCGTGGACAAGCAAGAACTGCAGGACTAACAGAACCGTGACCCACAGATCTTGATATTTCCACTCCACCCTACTTCCCCTCTGTAGTACCAACAAAGTGGGCCTTAGTCCTACATTTCTGTCACTAGTTGGCTACCCAAAAGCTGAAAAAGCTGGTGAATTCTGGGAAATTCAACAGAGAATTTGGCCCTTGATTTCCAGCCGGATAGGGATGTAACTGCAGCTTTTC